TATTAATAGATTTTGTGATATGTTAAACATTAACATGAGTTTATGTAGAAATCTACTAAGATTTCTAAAACAAGTGCTATCATCTTTGCTAACATTCGAAAATATTGGGTAAAAATATATAAGGACGTATAACCTATTCGTTAGTTGTTAGATTCGTCATCAAATTAGTTCGAAGTTGTAAATAGTTATACATGATCGTAATTGTTAAATTTTCATTCTGTGGTGGTTAAGAAATAATTAATTTCATGTATTTTTTAAAGTTTTGATGCTCAATGACCAAACCTCTAATACCTACAAAAAGATTAGATCACTTAAATTTGTAGCAGAAATATGCATAATTATTGTATGTGATAAATTTTTTTTTCAAATTCTTATAAATATCTTTTCTTTTTATGAATAAAAAATTAGTAAATAAATATATTGTTATATATGTAATTGGGTCTTGATTAACTATTATTATTATTATTATTATTTTTTTTTTTTTTGTAGAATGTGAGAGAAGAGGTTTATACCATGACCAAGAAGATTGATGAACTTGAAATATCTCAAAGGTTTCAAATTTAAAGTCTTGTGATAATCAATCTCCAAGATATCTTTAATAGTTGTATGGGAAAATTGAAGCTAATCTTGAAAATCTTGAAATGTAGGAAACTCCTTGGAAATGAGCTCGAACCTTGCTCTGTTGATGAGCTCCAGAGCTTAGAAACTCAGCTCGAACGAAGCTTGAGTAAGATAAGAACAAAAAAGGTATAACACAGTTTTACAATCGATATTATTTTTATTATCGTATTAAAAAATATGTTAATTCATACACCATGCAAGAATAGAGTTATCGAGCCTTTTTCGAAATTTACTATCATTTGTTTAGAAACTTAATGAATAGCTTTCGTTGTTTGGATCTACGATTACACAGAATCAATTATATTTGGATGAAATTAAAAAGTTGAAGGAAGAGGTAATTCTTTTGCAATTGTTTATATTAGTAAAATAATGTTTTTGATTTATTAGAGAATTTCTGATCTGAGATTTTTTTCTCTCTAATCACGTTTTTAAGGAGAAACTCCTTGTGGAGGAAAATAAAAAGCTTCGGGAAAAGGTATTTTTAATTAATTGAATTATAAATATGAAAATCTTAAAATTATTTAATTAAAATTTGTACTTCAATGAATTAATTTTATTGATAAATATTAGGTGATTAATCTGGTATTTGATATTTCAATAATGCAGTGTGGGTTGCAACTGCTAACGGGCGAGGCGAAAAACCCAGAAGAAATGAGAAAACAAAGTTTGGATCAGCAGGTAGAGACAGAATTGTCCATAGGACTACCCAAGAGGCTGAACACCAAAAATCCATAAAAACTTTAGAATAAATTAATTTTAAATAATTATTTTGGGTTTTTGTAATAAATTAATTATACTCAGCACCTTCAAGAGCCAAATAATTTTATTTTAATTGTTATGAACATCTTATTGTATAAAAAATTTAAATGAAAAAGTATAGTCAGACTTGTGCTTTATTTAAAGTTGTTATAATAAGCTTTTTCTTTTCTCTTCTCTTCTCTTCCTTTTATAGTAAACTGCAGAGTGAAATTTCAACTTCGTTAATTGTCAATTTACATGATGCTTAGTTTGTGTTTTTGGTAATTAATTGGGTTTTGTAAGTTAATTAAGAGATGTTGATTGTGAATTAAATAAATATGTTTTAATATATAAAACTAATCATTACGAAATGAATATTCATGCAACTTAAAAGCAACAGTTTTTCTAAAACTTGAATTCAATACCAACACGCATCATCGTTAGACTTGCCTGAAAGCAACTCCCAACCTCTCCCAAAACTTCTGCAGCACTCATAATTGATTCCTTCCTTTCACCCTCTTTCTACTTCTTTCTCACTTCATTATACTCTTTTTTCTTTTCTTTAGTAAATTTCTCCAGAAGAAAAGGAGAACTGTTCACCCATTAAACTTGGAGGTTGAAGGAGACTCTGTAAATATATACGTGTTTCTTTCAGTCGTTTGGGAGAGAGATGGGTACTCTGACTGCTCCAGCTCTGCTTCCTTCAATGCTCAAGCCGTCTCTCTCTCACCAAAACAGTACTTATAGATCAGCAAGATTCAAGAAGAAAAATACCCAAGTTATTTTTCCTGTAATTTTCAACATTTCTCCTATCTTCTTTTTCTGTCTCTTTCCTTTTTTTTTTTTTTTTTTTTTTTGTTTGTTTTGTTTTGTTTCCTCTTGTTGTATGAAATCAATGATTTGTATTGAGTGGATTAGGTGGCGAGATTATTTGGGCCGGCCATTTTTGAGGCTTCGAAGCTAAAGGTTTTATTTGTTGGAGTGGACGAGAAGAAACACCCAGGGAATCTGCCAAGAGCTTATACTCTTACGCACAGTGACATAACCGCTAAGCTTACCTTAGCTATCTCTCATACCATAAATAATTCTCAGGTAAATAAATCCTCTCAGATTTTCTCAAAAGGAAAACAGGGGATTCTTTAATTCAAGGGGAAACCATGTTTTGATTGCAGTTGCAGGGATGGTATAACAAGATTTACAGAGATGAAGTTGTAGCAGAGTGGAAGAAAGTGAGGGGAAATATGTCTTTACATGTTCATTGTCACATAAGTGGAGGCCATTTCTTGTTGGATCTCTGTGCTAGACTCAGATATTTCATCTTCTGCAAGGAACTTCCTGTTGTGAGTTTTTCTTTTTCCTCTATGGGTTTTTGTTGAAATAAATCATAATATGAAAATAAACTGGAAGGGTTTCTGAAATGGGAAAATGAATGATTAGGTACTGAAAGCTTTTATCCACGGAGATGGAAATTTATTCAGACAGTATCCAGAATTAGAGGAGGCACTGGTTTGGGTTTACTTCCATTCTAACATTCCAGAATTCAACAAGGTGGAGTGCTGGGGCCCAATTAAGGTGGCTGACGGGGTCCACCAGTGGCATAAGCAAGAAAGTCAAACAAGCAAGTTTGACCATCTTGTTCCAGAGCCTTGTAGAGAGCAATGCAACTGTTGCTTTCCACCCATGAGTTTGATTCCATGGCTAAAACATTCAGAAGAAAATGGATCCCCCGCTCGCCTTCCTTCCACCAACTTGGACAATCCTTAGCTACCCTTTTCTTTGCCAATCTCAACATGTGTACATACAAATTTATTTATAAATCTTTATTTTATACATTACGATTAAAAGATTATGTTATTATATACATATATATATATGTATATATACGTCTTATTATTTTTATAAAAAATAGGTTAAAAGTAGGCAATGTTTAGAATATGAGGAAATATTAATGATGCCATGCACTGCATCTTCGCATGTCTGCGTTTGAATGTAATAATTCCAAGACAACATGTAAAGGAAAATAGATAAGAGCAATTACGTGGAGAGAAAACTACTAATAATAAATAAAATATCATTTATAAAAATATAATTTTTGTTTGTATATGTTTATGTTTACGTTTATTAAACCAAACTTTGATTATTTGAAGTGGAAAATTAGGTTTCAACAATTCTCAGAATTTCCACCATTTTTTCGTGACTGTAAATTCAAGCATATTTTAATGTTAGGTCTGGTTTCAGCAGCATATTTATTAGGGGGGAAGAAAATTTCAATTTTCACATCTTCAGGTCTCATAACAATTTCCAATCATCATAACAAAATATTTGTACGATACCCTCCGACTGGCTTCAAGACAAATTTCGAACATCTAGTTTATTGATCATTTTCAGCATTTTTGTTTTTAATAATTAAAATAAATTTATGAATTGAAAAACCAAGAAATATTAAACACAAAATTGGAGAAAGGGATTTCAAAATGAGTTGTTTGAAAATTAGAATATAATAAATGGGAATTTATTTACAAAAAGGGGCAACCATCCCTCTCTCAAAACATACTCATCCCTTAAATATACAACCCAGGGGGAGCAGTTGATAACATCTCCCACTATACATCAACAAATCCAAAAGAATTTCCAAAACATCAATTTGCAAGAACCCAGGGATGAAGCATTACATTCTCTAATGTCTTTTAACTAAAACTAGCTAATTTTTTTGGATCCAAGAATGTTGGTGGAGGATACCAACACAGTGAAGCATTTAATCAATAAGAGTTAATAGATCGGATGGCATTTAATCAACTCAACTTTGTTGCACCTGCACATAAAGCTTTTCATTTTTAACCGATAAAAACTTTGCAGGGTCACCGGATTGTAGTTCTTCCAAAAGATAATGCTCCAATCTGACTGTCTGTGTTCTGCATCCAAAACATCCCCAATATATTAGTTGTACAGGAATAAACAAAATTAAAACAAAGAAGAGAACGTTTGAGGAGAGGTTTGTTTTTGTTTTTCTTTTTCCCCTTCAGGCAAATTACACTCTTTAAGTCTAATTCATTGTGATTGACTGTTCTCACTTTCAGTAACTTTGGTTGTTTGTGGGAGTAGCTTGATTTTTTTGTCTTCTAGATTAAATTATTAAGTTTTTGTTTTATTTTTAAAAAAATATTGCTGAAAATGAAAGTGAGAGCAGTCAAATGAAAAACCACAATTATTATAGGTGAAAACAGTCAAAGCAAAAAGAATTAAACTGAGCCTTTCAAAAAACATTTACTAGATTTGATACATGCCCTCCTTCATAGTTTAAATTACCAGCCAAATGAAGGCAAGGAAGAAACCTAAAATTATCTTAAAATGAAAAATAGTTGTATTTCTCTACCTTTATAAGAGGTTTTGGGTTGAAGTTGAACTATTCATACCCATGTCCCTAGCCATGTGTTCTTACTAGGAGATTAGTGTATATGTATTGCTTAACTAAATAAATGTGTGTTAAAGATATTTAACATCATTATATAACCCTCTAACTTGATTTCTTTTCCATTTTTTTAAATGATTGTTTGCTGAGTACTATATATGAGCTGAATTGTCAGTTGCCTAAACAAGGGATTTCCAAAGAGATAAAAACTTTGGAAATACACATAATTCAGTTCTAGTGAGAGACAGTTGAAGCGTATTCTTAGTTAATGCGGACAACTTCATATATGGTTAGAAAAAGAGCATTGGATTCTCTAAATATAACTTTGCCATCTAAAAAGTTATTTAGCTGAAATTTTGGAGAAGGAACAATAAATTCCAAAAACCTTGCCACTGGATTCTCTAAATATAGCTTTGCGATCAAAATTATCATTTACCTGAGACTTAGGAGAGGGGAAAACATTCCAAAATCTTAGTGTTTCATCTCCTGCTCCAGTGACAATGGTCTGTAACAAAAATAGTTCAATCACATGAGACCCCAGAGAACAAACAAACAAGATGTTGAGAAATAAAATGCAAGGCGGTCTGTATACTCTTTTCAGCAGCAACTACAAGCAATGACCAAAGAACTACCTGTCCGTCAGGTGAGATGGCAAGATAAAGCACTCGGTATGTATGACCTGTGAGAGTTGCCAACTGCACAAGCAGTCAAAACTAAGTTAGAACAGAAGGAAACTTCATAAAATGATTGCTGCATTATCACATGTTAAAAATCAATGTATATATATTTACCTTGGACATTGTAGGATATCTCCAAACTATTATCTGGTTTTGGGAGTATCCATGTGTACTGACAAGCTCATTAACATTCTTAGACCAAACAAGATTGCATACCTGCCATGTGCAAAGTGAATATTAGCACATGTTAATTGTTGTCATGACAAGGATATATATATAATATATTAAGTTTGTTTCTTAATGAATTACTTTTTTAATCTTCTTTTTTTTCCACCTTAGTTTGAATAGAATAATTTATAAGATCACCTGACTGCCAGTATCCATGCAGCTCAAGTGGGTGTTAGTGGTTGTATTCCAGAACCGTATACATCGATCAGCAGTACCACCTCCTGATGCAAGCAGTCCGTGAAGGTGGGGAGACCATGAAATCGCTTTAACAGCTGCTGTGTGCTCACAGTATTTTAAGACAGGTTGGGCGGAATGTTGATTCCAAACAAATAGCTGCAAACGGATGAAAAACAATCAGCCCATGAAGCAACAATTAAACTTACCAAGGAATAATCCATATAAAAACAAAGGTTGACTTTGATTCAAATTAAAATTTGATGGAATAGAAATGGTAATACAACAAAAATAAATAGAAATTTGAAAGAAAATAACATTATAGTTCTAAGTAAATTCTATAT